CTTCTGCACCTTTTCTGGGCCTCTTCCCAGCCTTTTCTGGGTCTCGGGGCCTGGCTTTTTCCAGGTTTGCTGGACCTGACCTCTTCCCAGCCTTTTCTGGGCCTCAGCGCGCCTTTCAGGGCCTCGGGGCCTGTTCTGGGCCTTTTCTAGGGTCTCGGGCCTCTTCTGGGCCTTTTTCTAGGGGCTGGGTTTCGGGTCCTTTTTTGGGCTTTTTCTAGGCTTCTGGACCTTCTGGGCTTCGGGCTTTTCTGTGCCTTTTCTAAGTCCTGGGGCCTCTTCTGGGCCTCGGGGCCTCCTCTGCCTTTTCTAGGCTCGGGCCTGTTCTGGACCTTTTGTGGGCCTCTTCTAGGCTTCTGGAACCTCTTCTGGGCCTTTTCTCGGGCCTCTTCTGGGTTTTTTGTGGGCCTCTGGGCTTCTTGCCTCTTCTGGGCCTTTTCTAGCCTCGGGCCTCTTCTGGGCCTTTTAATGTCAATTTACTTAAACCTCTTTGTGGCCTTTTTGGTTGATTCTCCTTATCAAATCTGCCAAGCTGCTGTGAAATTAATTATCTTATATCCTTGCTGCGCTGGCGCACTTGGGAGCTTGCTCCCCTAAAATTTAGGGTTTAGAGTCTAGGGTTCAGGGTTTAGAGTTTACCCTAAGGGTCCAAGGACCCAAATAACAAGGTTTTAGGGCCCATTTACTACATTACGAATGGTATTTGGGACCTAAAACCCTATTATTTGGGTCCTTGGACCCTAAACCCTAAACCCTATATACCCCTATAAACCCCTTTAAAGGGATCCTATTATTTGGGTCCTTGGGACCCTTAGGGTCAGGGTTCCAGCAGGCACCCGGCAAGCCAGGCCTGCTCACCGGCTTCGTAGGGCAAGCCCCGCAGTCGAACCTTTAGGGTTTAGGGTTTTAGGGTTTAGGGTCTAGGATTTAGGGTCTAAGATTTACGTTTTAGTCTTTAGGGTTTAGGTTAGTTTGTCTTTGTTTGCGCTGTAAGTCTTGGGGCGTAGGGTTTCGGGGCTATTTGTTTTAGGAACTCTCTGACCCTCGAGTCCGCCCCCCCTGTAACCTTCTGCGCGGAACGTCCATGTAATCAAAACCAGTCACTCCGTCAGACCTTGGGGGGTTCGGGGGCTAGTCGAGGTTATAGGGAATTGAATGGAAAGTCGAAAGGAAGATGACATGGAAACTACTATTTAGGGTCAGGTTTAGGGGTTCAAAAACCTTATGCTTGGACACCTTTCGTTGTATAGTTCCTCAGCGCACCTCTGATTCGGTCTTGCATCCATTGGAAACTCAACCTGCACCCTCAACGCCGACCCAAAAATTCTAACCGCCATGGTTGGGTGACTTCAGCACAACAAGGCCCAGGCAGCCGCAGGTGCTTCTGAGGCATCCAGTTTAGCCTCAGAAGAAAAACCGTATTAGCTTGGTAAGCTATGGGGCTGAAAGGGTCCGCGGCATAAGATGTTGTTGGCGCTAAGGTTCGGGATTTGGGGTTCAAGACTCAGGGTTTTATGGCTTAGAGTTTTTGATTTATTCAGAATTCATGTTTGTGGGTGGGGGTTTGGCGCACAACAGGCTCAGGGAAGGCTGAGGGCTTGTGCGACGTCGGCATTTGGTTTCAGAGTGCCTAAAGGTTCTCATACAAACTGCCTGAACGGAAGCATAGTCCCCCTTAAGTAGATACAATATTGGGTTATTATATTTGGGACCTTATTATAATATGCCAAAAGCCATATTCTACCTACTTAAGGGCGACCATAGCCTTACAATCCTCTCAGCCGAAAACCTTGACTCTGACCCCTAAACCCTAAACCCTAAACTCTAAATCCTAAATCCTAAACCCTAAACCCTAAACCCTGAATCCTAAGCCCTAGACCCTAAACCCTAAGCCCTTCACCGCAACCCAAAGCCAGAACCCTCTCACCCTGAACCAACTCTCTTAGCCGTTCAAGGCCTGTCAACCGTTCAAGGAGAGGCAGTTGAAGCAATCACTGTATAGTATATACAAACATGAAGCACCCCCCCCCGCCCCTACTATTGATACTACTGTTATTGCTGCTACTATTTTTGTTATTACTAGACTTACTATTGTTACTCTTGCTACTATTATTATTACTGATATTACCAAGTCCTACTGTTTCAACCCTGAATCTTGATCCTGAGTCCTAAAACCCTAAACCCCTAACCCCAAACCCTAAACCCTTGAACTCTGATTGTTTCAAGACAGCTGCAACTGACTGAGCTGCAAACCTCGCCAGTGTGATCTTGATTCGGCATCTGCGCAGCTTACTAGGTTCAACCACCAAAAAAACATTACTCAGTAATATAACCCCAACATAACCCCAATATATATATATATATCCTATTATAATATAGTAGGAGGCACAGGGGACTTTCTGAAGGTCCTGGGACTCCTTTCTGGAGGCTTGACCAGGACTTATTTGAGCCATCGTCTTAACTCCTAGTGTTCCCCTTAAGAACCCTTAAAATATTCCCCTATATAATCCCTTGTAAGGAGTTAAGACTACAGCTCATATGATGGACGTTCTGTGATTGCCGAGGTGGACATAGGGATGCTTGCTGCATGTATAGGGATTATGGTTTAGGGATTAGAGTTCTAAGCTGATGGAATCAAAACAGGTCGTGCCAGTAGTCCGGTCCTTCAAACCACTTGTTTCGGTCCATGGATTGTCTTGTTAAGGTCCTACACAAAAATCTGTAGCGGAACCGCATCTTCAGACACAGCCTATCAAGACGCCCCTCCCCTTGATCCAAACCCACCCATCAATATTGAACATTCCAATGTTGAATGCTATGATTTACTTGGAATATCCGATGTTAGGAGGACGGGGCATCTATTTTGGGGGAGGGGATGACACGTCAACCATCACTGCAGACAAGGTGGTTTAGTGCAACATGCTGCGTGTGCCCTCGTACCCAACCTAAACATTAAGAGCACTGCCCTCAAACCTAACATCCCAACAAATTTCCGGGTTCCTGTCACATTCATGTACACATGTTTCAGCACACCTCCGGTCCCTTGTTAGCCTCCTTGCGTATCCCGGCAGAAGCGAGCCTATACAAGCCTATACTCCGAACACCCAAACTCTGCAACCTCACCCACAAGTGAATCGATACCTCGAGAAGGGTCATGAAAACAAAAACGATGCACAGTCACACGGCCAACTTAACAGCTTTCTTTGTGAAGGTATCTTCCCAAATCTCTATACCCTAAACTCCAAACCCTAAACACGCCCAAAGTTGCCCTTGTCCCTTCTCCCTGCGTGCCGGCATGTCGTGCTCGGACAGCCTCAGACAGGTTCGATCTAGCAGGGAGCTCCGGGCCAATATAATCTAAGGGTCCAAGGACCCAAATAATAGGGTCCCTTTCAAGGGGTTTATAGGGGTATATAGGGTTTAGGGTTTAGGGTCCAAGGACCCAAATAATAGAGTTTTAGGGACAAAATACTACAATATTGATGGTATTTGGGCCTTGAAGCCCAATTTATTAGGTCCTTGGACCCTTAGGGATAGAACAGCCTTCTTCTCTCTCAAATACTGTGATGTATCCTGTTGTCCATGTACTCCCAAATGGGATGAGAGGCCAAAAGTATGGATCTTGGGCTGTTAGACTACAGAATAACAACTTCTTGCGGCAAGGAAGAGTCTCATTCGTTTTTTGGGGTGTTTAGGAAATATCCAAAAAGGTTTCAGTAAAGGATGGCTGGGTCCTTGGGATTTGGGTAATGGTGCGTGCTGCTTTGAGGCTTGGGGAAGCGGGTGAGGAAAAGATCCTTTGACCCTTCTTTGGCCTACAATGGACCCGAGAGGAACAAAGATGTGGGTAGTTCCCAACATTAGGGTCCCCTTTTGGTACCCCTAAATGTTGGGTGCCCTAACATGATATAAACCCAAAAGGGGAATAGAGTTTTGAAAAGAACCCATGTGGTAATTTTTCCATAAATCAGGGTACCCCTGCAAAGACCCCAATATATTATCAACATTCTTGAGACCCCTGAAGAGGTGCCCCTAATTTTGGAAAACTTTGATGACAGAAAGGTGCTTCTACTCCTGCTTACGAGGCGGGATCTGGGTAAGCCTGCATGTGGTTCTGCTTAGATTCTCTTTTACCCTAGGGCGGGATCTGGGTAAGCCTGCATGGGGTTCTGCTTAGATTCTCTTTTACCCTAGGGGCCCAAGGACCCAAATAATAGGGCTGTAGGGCAAATACCATTCATAATATAGTATTTGGGCCCTAAAGCTCTAGTATTTGGGTCCTTGGACCCTTAGGGTTAGGGAGTCAGTATGGAGAACAACAGTTTCCACTCAGCTGGTCACCTGGATGGGAACAAGCCAAGCAATTGGCCAAACATTTGGGTGTTCGGTACCAAAAACCGTTCAGGTTTTAGTACTTATGACCTAAAACCCTGTTGTTTGGGCACTTGGACCCTCAGGAACACTGAGGCCAGTATATATTGCGGTCTAGCACGCTGTCAGCAAGGATGGGCATCACAGGTGGTGAATGGGGATGGTCCCTAAAATTCCTTCATAGAATTTTCTGCTAAAAAAGAAAGCTTCTTGTGGATCTGGAGATCGTGCTTTCTTCATCAATATAGTTGGGCACCGCTGTTCTTCAAGACATGGGAACACACATTAACACTTGCGCTGTTTCTTCTGCGCTCGCCGCGCAGAACTTCACGCATCTCCCCAGCGTGATTTGGTTTAGCCTTCAGTCATCTCCTGAGGATCATGAACAACCAGTCATTGTCATAGCAAACATTTGCTTTGCACGAGGAAGGCAACACCATGGAGCGGCATGAAGGCTCGAATAATCATTGAGCGTGAGTATTTACTTTCAAGGAGTAGACCCTCTTGGACTCAGTCAAGTGAGTAATTATGCAATAACTATGCTAAGAAGCGCCCAACGTCCAGTCTAAGTCTAGCATGTATGTAGCTGCCTACCAAACACGCTTGCGTGGCTGCTGCCACAAGAGCGCGAGTCACCAGGTGAATATAGCACCGATAGGAAAGTGGAGACGCGGCCGCAGCCACTCCACATCTTGATAGTTGGCAAACTCGTCCACTTCTGCCAAGCCACCATTTTCAGCATCCACTTCAAAGCAGACTCTTGGCAGCTGATCAAAGAAGATGGTTGGACCACCAGGGTTGCACCATCCAAAAATAACGTCGTCAATAGTCGAGCCAAGCTTGTCTAGGAGCTGCTGGCATGTGATTCCTGGAGATATGCCTTTGATGTCTGGGCGTTCTGGGATCTCCATGACTGCACACTGCATAGCATGTATGTGACACCCGACGGCTTTCACCGAGGTTCCATCTGTAAAAAGGGTGAGGCATTGTCCGGTGAAGTTAGTATCGTACTCATCTTCCACTATTGGTCCCGGAAAAGCCAAGCACTCATGCGCAATCGGCAGGTCAATAGAAAAGGGGGAGACTCTTTCGAATGGTGGAACTGGTCCTCCTATGAGCTTGAAATCCAAGAAGAAATACCCCTGCCCTGGGCTGAGGTACTCCTCTATGTGGTAGCGGGGTATGACGGTGTTGCAAGGCTTCGTTCGAAGCTTATAGTTTTCAAGTCCGAGGCGGATACCCGCAGCACGTCTCCCCGGAACGATGCGCCATGAGACGAGGAGGAAGTACTCAACTTTCTGCCATCTGCGAACATCAGGCATGTTGGCCACTTCTTGCAAGAAAGTATGGGAACCAAAGCGATCTATGAGGAGAGCTCGCCACGGCCCCGTACCAACTGCATGCCGCAGCCAGAATGGCGAAAGAGCTTCCAACTGACACCAATCTCTAGCATCAAGGAAATTCCTCACAATGACCGACAAACGGCGCCAAACATTCTCAAGGCAACATGGAACTGCTCCTTCGTTTTCAGCACCGTTGGCTGATTGCTTGCCGACCAGCCTCCTCCTCTTCATGGCACGTCACCCCAGCAGCGCAGCCAGGGGGATTATCAAAGGGTTTGGGGTTTAGGGTTATTATAGGGGTTAGTACAGGGATTGTAAGGATAATGGACAAGAAAATGGAAACTACTACAGTATATTAGGGGTCCCTTTACAGGGGCTTTATAAGCCAAAATGGCTACAAAACTGTCATAATGCAAGCTGCTGATGTCTGTAGCCGCATACAGGAAGATGAATGGCACGTCAGGAAAGCACGGATCTACAGTAGGGGCCTCGGTGATTACCAATATCATGTTGAGATCCATTTGGGGGTACCAATCCCATTAGAATTAGTATACAAGAAATATGGAGCCATAACACGAATTATCCCTTTAGACCACACCGTTTCATCTTCCATTTGCTTTTCCATGTGTTTCTCCAGTATTGGAGGGCGAACATGCCCATGAACCTAAAAACCACAACATTAAGCCATGATGTTGGCAATTCGCCCGAAACCCTAGAGCTTAATTCCTAAAGCCCAGGATGCAGACCGAATCTTGGACAAACCCTGGGCCCGCTTTTGTTGTCTCAGTAGTCTCTGCTCCGAGTCACTTACTCACCACATGCAAGGTTTTTAAAAGGATATGTTCCTTTGGGGTCCCTAGTAAAATACAGCCCTAAAATTTGGGGTACCCAATAATTTTGACATCCCCTCATAGGTGACCAATCGGCACACAACCCCTAGCCTGGGACAGAAATCTAGCATTCGGATATAAGTTCTTCGAAATACCTTCCCATGGGCGCTACGTCGCGAACGAGACTTTCTCACGATTTCACGTTGCTCCAGGATGAGGGAATACGCTCTTCCCGCAGAAAAAAAAAAAACAAACCTGACTATCTCCCGGTAGGGCCGCAAGATTTATCAAGTTTTAACCGCCACCCACACCTGATCTTGAATGCTCTGTATCACCACCCCTGTCTTCAGTTTTGATGAAGAAGACACTGTAAATTCCCGAAATAGGCAACCCCGATATAGACCGCACAATATTCTAATCCTCACTAGGGACCCCCAATTTTCGAAATCGGGCAACCCACACATAGCCCTAACAATGCGAACTTCACGCAGGCCGCCTCTTACCTGACACTTTGCCGGGTCAGTATTCAAGGGCTTCCCTCAAAGGGAAGATGTCCAATCCCAGGGGGTCTAAGGACAACCTAAACCCCCAAAGTACGTAAAATAATGGCCCAAAACCCCTAAATATAGTCCAAAAGGCAATTATTCTACATACTTTGGGGGTCCAGGAACTCCTTAGCCCTAAACATCCTCAAGCCCTACATCCTACAGATTGCCGGCCAGCTGCATCACATCCTTCTGCTGCGCGGCCTCTGCCATTTGGGTCTGAGCTTGCCTCATCTGGGTTGCTGTTAAGGAACTTAAATTAAGTTACCATAATGGTTTTATATATAATAAATAATAAGGTTTCCCCAATATAGTAACCTAACTTAAGTTCCTTGAATCCCTATATTCCCCCAGCTTCCATTTCATTTTCCATTTTCTTTTCCATTTGATTCTCCATGATAGGGGGATAATATACCCTAAACCCTAAACCCTAACCCTAAACCCTAAACCCCTTAATTTAAGTTCCTTAACTGCAACCCAGTAATTTGGAGGAATCCAGAGGCTTCAACTTGGAGCTGATAGATTTCTATGGCTTGCGGTTTAGGGTTTATAGGGTTTAAGGTCTAGGGGTTAAGGTTTAGGGTTTAGGGTTTAAGGTTTAGGGTTTAGGCTTTAGGGTTTAAAGGTTTAAGGTTTAGGTTTTAGGCTTGGTTTTTGCAGGGTTTTAGGGTTGAATGCGCCGCGCTTGAGTTCAAGCCGCGGCTTTCTTAATCGAAACTTAATCTCCTAGGTTTGGGGAGGCAGAATTATCCCCTTGCTATCTGGGCTTGAGGGCGGGGGCTCCACATGCCCGCTTAAGTTTGGGGCCCGCAGTTCACTCAAAGGTTTTGGGTCAAGGTTTGGGTTGAAGGCCTACCTGCAACCCCTATTACCTACAGATTAGTAGTAATTACTCCTTACTTAACTAGTGCGTATAACCCATAAAACTGTAGGTAATTGAGGTTTCAGGTAGTCCTAGGCCCAAGGCTTTGCGGTTTCAGGTTTACATCGTCCAGGCTGGGGCTTTGTACAGCCAGGCCGTTTGCGCTTCATCAGAATACAAGCGTTGAGGGCTTAAGTTTGGGGCTAATGTAAACCCATGATTAATAGGCCCCCTCCTTTCAGGGACTGAACTACCAAATATTCTTCAAAGTTTCCATGACTTCAATGAAGCCAGTCCCGTGGGCAATCGAAAAGCTTCATAAGGGCAGCTCAGTTACCTACACCCCAAGAGCGATGACTTTATCATAACCATTTAATAGTTCTAGGGTCCTTCTTTTTTTTTAATTTGGGTTGGGGTCAAAAACTCCCCTCATGAATCAAACAAACCCGAGCTCCCAATCGCAAGCCTGAAGCCTTCCCAAAAATGCAGCTGGGTGTTCTCAGCACAGGGCGCCCCTCCTAAACCCTAAACCACAGAGCTATAAGTTATACGGCGATAAGAATATGATTCCAGGCCCTCCCTACTAACAAGGGTGTAGGGTTCATGGTTTAGGATTTAAGGGCGCTCCCTCAGTCGCCATGCAGGTACCATTTATAGACTTTCGGGCCCAATTGCAGGTAATAGCTGTAGAAATAAAGCCCAGGGATAAGAATCAACAACTTGCCAACAACCTTGCCAACAACCATGTTCAGAAACGGTCACATCCAAAACATCAAGATTCAAGTTGAGGCCTGCGCTGCTTGAAGGATCTGAAACGCGTGAACCTATCTGCAGGTTACCAGGGTTACGAACGGAACAAAACTCCGTGTTCGACGTCACAACCCCCCAGCCGCCTGAACCCAAAAGACTTCATGAAGCCTTCATTCCAAACCTCAAGTCATCAAGCCAAACTATGCAGTTTCAGGTTCCTTGCAACCTTGAACCTCCGGAACAGTGGCTTGCCGAGATGCATGGCTTGCATTTGGCTCATGTCCATCCAGGGTCCCCCCGGCATAGGTCCTTACATGGCCATAAACCCTAAAGGAGGGTTTTAGGGCCCAAGTACTATAATGTTAATGCTAAAGCCCTATAATTTGAGTCCTTGGACCGTTAGGGAAACATGCCAAGTATATGCGGAAAAGAACACCATGGCTCAGAGGCTCCCAACCATTAGGTACTTTGGATTTGGGTAGTTGAGGTTTGGGGTTTAGGGTTTCAGGTTTGGGTAGAAGACTTTGACTCACTTGGGCTCGCAGACTAATTCATCCCATCTGGGGAGGTTCTGCAAGGGCCATAGCGGTCTTCATCTGCTTGGACTTGTGACCTCACCCAAGCCCTAAACCCTCATGCCCTACATCCTCAACCCTCAATCCTCTAAGCTTGCCTCATGAGTTCCCCCCCCATGTTCCACCTTGTTTAAAGTGAAAACTCGGCCCAACTAAGAGTAAGTGAGGGGGAAGCTACAGTGGGTCTCAGTAAAGAGCGGAGGTAGTAGGGGGACCCATGAATTCCAGACCTAGTTGCCAGCCCGCGGGTGATGTTTACTGCTTTTTTAGGGTTTTAGGGTTTAGGGGTTTAGGGTTTAGGGTTTCGGGTGCTTCTCCTGACTTTGTGCAGCTGAAAGAAAGGCTTCTTACGTAGGCTGCGTAGCAGGGCAGAAGCCAAACCCTCAGCCACTTGCAAGAGTGTAGCTTAACATGCGCTTATCCCAAGCAGCAAAGGATCAACAGTTTCGAAAGTTCCGTGGAACATGTACTTCCAAACAAGAAACTCCAACCCCCAAGCCAGAAGACCTTAGAGAAACCCTACTTGGAGGGTCAGGAGGACTTCGTGAGTATACTGATACCCCCGTTGAGGCCAATGAAAAGCATCATGCCTCGTACTAACCTGCTTACCGTAGTTCCCCTCACCCTAAATCCTTGGCGCTCCATATATGGCTGTGAATCAAAACCCCGTCTCGTCGCGGGGTCCCCCCCACCCCCTGTTAGATGCCCCTTTGTCGTGGCCTGTTGTTACATACCTTGGTCGCGAATGCTTGGCGCTGGTATACCCTACAAAAGAACCTTGTCGCAAAGGTGCATGCTTGTCGCAAGCCAGGAAGTTACAAACCCAGTGTTTTTTTAATCACAGCCGTATTGGGAAACTTCCACTTCCTACTGCTTACCACGCCCTGCTGACCACAAAGCTACGCTGAACCCTAACCCCATACCCCAACCCCGCAACTCTAAACTCCAACCCCTAAACCCCAAACTCTAAACTCTAAGCCCTAAACCCCAAACTCTACACTCTAAACCCTAAACTCTAAACCATAAACCCTCAACCCTAAACTCTAAACCCTAAACCCCCATATCAACCTCGAAGAGGCCTCCGGCAGTGCCCATGGCGAGGTAGTTCAGGATGGTCTGGATCCCTCCGAATAGGTTTAGGCTCTAGTATGCAGGGTTCAGGGTTTAGGGTATAGGGGTGTAGGGTTTAGGGCTTAGGGGTTTGGGGGTTTAAGTTTGGGGACTGTAGGGTTTGGGGGTTGAAGTTTTTCGGTTTAGTTGGGGCTTTGGGGTCGGGGTTGACGGCGAACATGAACAGAATATTGGAAGAATATATTCAAGCATGGCTAATGTCATGAGCTATAGTCTGCGTCCTAGTCTTTTCATTCATAGCCTCTATGATAATACTCCCCTGTATAACCCCCTATGTAACCCTCTTTAAGGACTTTAGGAGTTTAGACGATAGCTCACATGGAAGTTACCATGATATAGTGATCTTTCTTGGCTCGCGACTCCTAAATTGAGCCAATAACAATTTAAATTAGAATAATTACAGTTCCCAAGTTAAAGCTATTTTTGTACTATTCAATTCCCAATTTAAGGCTATTCTGGTACTATTCAACACTTCCCAATCTAAGGCTATTTTGGCACTATTGAATTCGCAATTTAAAGCGATTTTAGTACTATTCCC